AGGGGCTGGGGGCTCGGGGGCTGGTGGTACAGACACAAAGGAGGTCACCATATACAGGGGAGTAGAGGAAGACGCTGGTTTAACCTCTTGAGGAATAGAGGCTGGGATCGGGGTCCCAGTGTCAGGGATGGAAGACTTGGGCTCACTTGGGGCGACCTGGGCACTGGGTGGGGAGGGCTCTGCTTGCCGGGCAGCCTGCAGGCCTCTGTGCTTTCGTGGGGGAGTTGGGGGTGGTGGACCCACAGCCTTGAGTGAGGACAAGGCCTTGGTGGGGGGTGTGGGGGGAGATGAGGGGCTGAGAGCAGCTGACTGGGGGCCTGTGGGACCAGGAGCTGCAGGGGTGGTTGGGGACGGGGCCAGTGAGGTAGGAGAGTCCGGAGGTGGGGCCCTGGCTGGCCCTGAGGTAACAGGGGTGTCTCGGTGAGCAGCAGGTAGCAGAGCTGAGGAATCTGAGTGAAGACAAGGAAAACCATCACCTAGGTGCCCCTGGCAGCAAAACCACGGTGTTCTGAGAAGAGGGTGGATCTTGGGCTTAGGGTCCCCTTCCTTTTCTGGCAACCCCCAACCTCATCACACCGACCTTGCGTGCCCCTGACGAGGACCTTCTCAGAAGGGTTGCTGAAAGGCCCTTGTCCAGCACGGTTGGCACAGGCCACTCGGAACCTCACGGTCACACCGATTGGTAGGTGGGTCACATTGTAGTAACAGTCAGGGATGCCTGAGCTCACTGAGTGCCAGGAAGACTCCCCTGCAGGCACCATGGGAAGGGCTGAGGTCAAAGAAGGGGTGGCCCAAGCTCCCAGTGCTATCTGTAAGGAGCCTAGGGAGGNTATCTCTCCAGCTTTATCAAATCCTGGCTCGACCATTTAAAACTGTCTTATGTGGGACAAATAATCTACTTCACCTGTTTCCTTGTCTGTAAAATGGGGGTAATGTTATGCCAATCTCCAAGGCTACTATGAAGATAAATTTAAAAAAACCCAAGGAAAGGACTTTGTTCATTGCCTGCATACAGTAAGCACTCAATAAATGGCACATATGTGGGTGAAGTGGGGGGACTTATGGCTGCTGCCCCTTTGGCAGTACCCCCAATCCCCTGCCCTGGCTGGCATGGTGCCCTCACCCATGAACTCCAGCGTGCCCGTGCGGTGGCCAAGGGGCTGCAGGGCCTGGGGGTTGTAGGGCTGGGCACTGCCGAAGTCCACGATCTTGAGGGCGTTGTCAGGGGCCAGCAGCAGGTTGTCTGGCTTGATGTCCAGGTGCAGCACGTGATGGCCGTGGAGGTAGTCCAGGCCTTGTAGCAGCTGCACCACATAGGTGGCCACGTCATCCTCTGAATATCGGAACCTGGAGGGCCCAGGGAAAGCAGGTGACATCCCATGCCAGCTCCCCTTACTCTCACTCCCGGCTCCCCTAGAATGCCCAGCTACCTGTCGCTGAGCCCACATAGGAGCTCCCGGTTGCCGCAGCTCTCAGCGATGAGCACGAGGTAACGTGGGGTGATGTAGGCCTCGTGCAGGGACATGAGCCGCTCGTGGTGCAGCGTCCGCAGCACTTCATACTCCTGCAGGACTCGCCGCTTGCCCTCAGCTGCATAGGGCACAATCTTGGCCACAAACGTTCTCCCGGTAGCATTCTCCCGGCACGCGCGCACTACACCAAAGCGGCCCCTATGTGTTGAGGGGACACCACAGGCTTAGAGAGGGGGGCACCACCATTGTGAAGGCTAAGGGGGCTGGGGTGGGGGGAGCAGGGACCCAAGTGTGAGCTCTGGAGTTTAATCTTAGAAATCTGGGTTTGAATCCCAGTTCTGCCCTTCAGTGGCTCTGTACCATAGGCCAATCCCATACGCTCTCTAAGCTGTTTTCTCATCTGTGAGATGGGTGATGCTAATAATGCAGTGGCTTCCTCTCCGAGTGATGATTAAACGAGATCATCTGGCTACAGAGCTTAGCACAGTGCAGGGCCCAGAGGAAATTGGAACTCAATAGTGCTGATGACCCAGATCCCAGCACCTTTCCCGCTCTGAATCCCTGTGTCCCCTGTGCTTCACCCACTCCCCCTCTGTCCTCCATCCCTTCCCCGCCCTGCTTACCTGGCCTTCTCCTCCAGGAAGGTGTAGGGTTTCTGAGGGGGGCCCTGTCGAAGAGTGGTGCCCTCTGGCCCCGGAGAGCTGCGGGGACCACCCCCAGGGGAGCTGACCATCTCCTTGGCTGAACTGAGGGTCCGAACAGTTACCTTGGTGGGCTGGGGAGGGGGCT